CGCCCCAAATCCTTCCTAGTCCGTCTTAATCCATACTATAAATAGGAAAATAATAGTAACAAAAATAAGAGAGACTGAAATCAAAGCAAGAAATTATCCAGGATTTCTGCCTTTTGAAGAGAGAACTTGGAAAAAATTATTGTTTGGATTACATCTCTCAGAATCCCCAAGCTGGCGTGTGGACAACATTTGGACCCCAGACCCCTGTATTGCTGCTTGGGATGCATATTTCCAATGTTGGAGGCTTCTAGGAATTGAGTTTTTTGTTAACTCCTCTCATTCCAGAAAATGACCCAGACAGATCTGGAAATCCAAATTGAAACTGAGTTTGTGATTTGTGGTCAAATCTATGATAATATCCTACCCCCTCCCCTTAAAAAAACAGCCCACACTGAAGTTAAACAAGGAACACAGGAGTAGCTCTGAAATTTCCTCCTTTTCAAACTGGTGGACAGTATGGCTTGGTGATCTATGACAGCACATAGTTTTGCTACAGCTTAAGAAATGCCACTTTTTGGATCTCCCAGCCAATATACCAGCAGCTGGGAAGGGAAGTCTGGCAGGTGCAGCCCTCAAATTTCAAGTACTGGGTCATACTGTAGTGTGATAGTTTCATTCTGCTTATGCAAGCAGGAATTTACAAGCAAGTTTACAAATACTGTCACACTAAAATGCTTCTCATTTGTGGAACAGCCACCATAGATTAAAGCTGGTGGTTGCTCCATATTACGTGGTATAGTGATTTATGGGTTGTGCTAAAACTACAGGAGATACAGTGTCCATGTCTCCACTTGGCCATAGAAACTCACAGGATGAATTTGGGCAAATCTCTCTCTCTCAGCCTAAGAGGAAGGGAACAACATTTCTCTTCTGAATCTTACCAAGAAATCCCTCTGATAGGGCTACCATTAGCCAGAGTTGACTTGAAGACACATAACAACAGGAAACCAGCACATTAGTTTTCTAGATCTTATGTGACAGGACCTTCCATTAGTCTGCGTAACGCAGTTCCTCAGACAACAGTGCTGACACACCAGTTGATCCTATTCACTGGCAGCAAGAACTGCATACACCACAATTCCTCCCTCGGAGGGCATGCATGCTACACAATCAAAGTAGTGTGATATCACTTTAACCATAATGATATCATCCTCTGGAACCCTGGAATTTGTAGTTTGGTGAGGGGCATAAAATCCTTTGGTGCACTCACTAGGCTGTAGCACTAGAGCTCTTTGGTAGAGAAATCTAATTACCCCATGAAACTAAAATGTAGCCATAGCTGTTAAGATTCCATCTGAACATTAGGAAGAACTTCCTGACTGTGAGAGCTATTCAGCAGTGGAACTCTCTGCCCTGGAGAGTGGTGGGGCCTCCTTCTTTGGAGGCCTTTAAACAGGGGCTGGATGGCCATCTGTTGGGGGTACTTTGAATGCAATTTTCCTGCTTCTTGGCAGGGGGTTGGACTGGATGGCCCATGAGGTCTCTTCCAACTCTATGATTCTATAAGTTATTATAGCTATAGGCTCATTTACATCAAGCAGGTTTCCCAAGGCAAATCTGGCTCAGAGCATCCTGAGATCTAGCACATACATGCTGAATCCAGGGCCATTGCCCAAATGGCCCAGGAATACTGTCACCTCCTCTATGCCACTGCCATTCCTACCCAGCCATTCATTTCTCAGTGCTTGGCTGTTGCAATCACCACTGCTGGTGTCAGAATGGGGCACCCATGCAACAAACAGATTGATCTGCCCTCCATTTTGCTGTTTTGCAGGTGATTCATTCTGATATCAATAGATATGATCATGGCTGGTAGGCACTCAAATGAGCTCCCTGACTGGCTAGGAGCAATAGCAGCACAGGTAAAGTCTGTCCTCTTTCCATGCAGTGTCCATCAGTGCCTGGCTAGACAGCAAATGGGACCAAAACAAATCCAACCCAAACTACCACAAAGCCCTGGGATTTTCTAAAGTTTTATCCTCTGAATTTGCTCAAAGTAGGACAAAAATAAATTTAAAGTGAAAAATATTGGCATACTCACCAGGTTTCCTCGTCAGTGCATCATGATGACTGCCAGTGGTCCGTTTGTAGTGTGTATGGGGTTTGTGGCCAGTGTATACAAGCCCTGTGCTGTGTGGTACAACCCTAGACCTCTGAACTATCTTCCTGCTTCAGCTACTCTGGAGAATCCTATTCATTGGGTGTTAACTTGGCTTCAGAATAATGAATGAGGCCACCAGTTTGTCGTTTTCACCAAAAGGCAAAATGTCTTATATAGATTGACCTTGAAGACTGATTGTATGGGAAGCCCAGTTTGGTAGGAAGGAGAAATGGAGGGAGATATGACTTTACATGGCTGTAATTGAGTAATCAAATAGTCCTATGTGACTTGACTTGCACAGGAAAAAGGCCTGTACTGTATTGCACAATTCCATAAACTGAGCACGATCCTCAGGGAACAAGTGAGTTTAACCGGGCCTTTCCATTCACTTGCTACTTACTGTATGTGTTTGCTTGAAAGCAGTTCATACATTACAGTGGCAAGTAATCTAGTACAGTTGAGGCAGTCCACTCTATAGGGAAGCAAAGCAAAGTGGACTGCAGATTCTCATATTTATTTAAGAACTTGAACTTTTAACACTCTTAAATGGTGCCTTTGGCAATAATATCACATTAACATTTTCCCTTCTGTGTGCCTATGTGCATAGAATGTGTACTGGGGCAAGAGGAAGCAACCAGGCAGTTTAAAGGAAGCCTGGCACTGCTGCCAGCTGGGTTTAAGGTAGCCATGCACCTACAAATATCCTTCTGTTCAATGTATTGTCGAAGGCGTTCATGGCCAGAATCACTGGGTTGTTGTAGGTTTTTCCGGGCTATATGGCCATGTTCTAGAGGCATTCTCTCCTGACGTTTCACCTGCATCTGTGGGAAGCATCCTCAGAGGTTGTGAGGACCTCACTACCTCTGAGGATGCTTGCCACAGATGCAGGTGAAACATTAGGAGAGAATGCCTCTAGAACATGACCATATAGCCCGAAAAAACCTACAACAACCCATCCTTCTGTTCCTAGATCAATTGTGGCAGATCCAGGAGCCAATTTTTTGCCCCATATGGTCTGTGTTGCATAGATACCTTCCCCAAAAATGACAGAAAAAAACTGGGAGCAAAACAGAGCAGGAGGTGCTGACATTTATTTAAAGAGTGAATTGCCAGTCCCGGAGGCTTCTAGGAAAGACACGCCACTTTCCTTTCTAGCTAGAACCCCCTACATGTTACATAATTACAGCTGTGATTCCTCTTTAGCAGTCATTCCCTTGGGATCCTGAGCTTTGTAGTTGATGAGGCATTCCCTGGATTACAAATCTCAGAACTCTATAGGATTGAACTATTGGAGTTAATTGTTAAGTGTGAAAGGGCAGCTATGAAGGAATTAGGTAAGATTCTGAAGTACAAAGACATATTACTGAATCCCAAGTTTTGAATCCTCCATGCTGTAATATTCAATTTTCATGCTCAAGAATCATAGAATCCTCGAGTTGGAAGAGACCTCATGGGCCATCCAGTCCAACCCCCTGCCAAGAAGCAGAAAAATTGCATTCAAAGCACCCCCGACAGATGGCCATCCAGCCTCTGTTTAAAAGCCTCCAAAGAAGGAGGCCAGGCCACTCTCTGGGGCAGAGAGTTCCACTGCTGATCAGCTTCTCACAGTCAGGAAGTTCTTCTTAATGTTCAGATGGAATCTCCTTTCCTGTAGTTTGAAGCCATTGCGTCCTAATTTCCAGGGCAAAAGAAAACAAGCTTGCTCCCTCTACCTTAGGACTTCCCTCACATATTTATAAATGGCTCACAGCCTTCTCTTCTGCAGGCTAAGCATTCCTAGCTTTTTAAGCCACTCCTCATAGGGCTTGTTCTCCATACCCTTGATCATTTTAGTCACCTTGCTCTGGACACATGCCAGCTTGTCAACATCTCCCTTCAACTGTGGTGCCCAGAACTGGACACAGTATTCCAGGTGTGGTCTGACCAAGGCAGAATAAAGGGGTAACATGAATTCCCTGGATCTAGATACTATACTCCTATTTATACAGGCCAAAATCCCATTGGCTTTTTTTTTTTTTGCCGCTGCATGACATTGCTGGCTCATGTTTAACTTGTTGTCCATGAGGACTCAAAGATCTTTTTCACACATACTGCTGTCGAGCCACGAGTCCCCAATTCTGAGACTTAGCTAAACTAGAAGTGCTTTCAAACTACATTTACAACACTATGATTCCATTTTAACTGCCATAGCTGCTTTCTATGCAATCTTGAAGTGGGTAGTTTGGTAAGGCACTAGAGCTCTATGGCTGTTGATTTTCAATACCACACTTTATGTTGCCATGTCAGTTACGGTAGAATCATAGTTATGTAACTATTTAAAGCATCCCAGGGAGAGAGCCCTAAGGACAGCAAAAAATAACCTGGTGGGCAGATGTGGTCCTGGGACCACTATTTGTCCACCTTTTCTAGAGTGTAGCATAAGAAAATAGGTGAAATGAACTCATGGCTTTGAAGCCTAAGTTCACTGGATATTCCCCTTCTATCTGCTGACTCCACTTATTCTGAGAGCCACATAGCTGCTCACTTTGCCACTACTTCAATTGTATATCCAGAAAATCTGGAGCTTTGCTTGCTTCCCAGGATAGAACCACAATCTCAGTGAGATCATGGTGCAATTCATCTGTTATGAGCATCAGAGATGGCAAAAGGGGTTTTTACCTTGTATTGTATTGTGTGTTTATTCTATGTTTTGTTTTAGGCACATCATGTCATATGTAAGCCACCCTGAGTCCCTTTGGGGAGATGGAGGTGGGGTACAAAAATAAAGTTATTTCTAAAGTTACTATTTTTCAGTGTATAAGAAAACACTATGGAATACATGGGTTACCATAAGTTGAGGGGTAACCCATGGCACATATACACAAAGACACATATACACACAGAGACACACACACACATCTTTTTCATTGGATGTTTAGTGTGCTTCATAAAATAATATGCAATGTTAAAATCCTTAACTGGAAGGGAGTGCCTCTGCATTCTGTAGAATTTATTTCCAAGTAGAAAGATATAGGACTGAACTGTCAGATTCTTGCTGTTTTTCATCTTGGATTCAAGGCTGCTCTCACGAATAAAACACTGAAAGGCAAGATAATAACTTTTGAAAAAATGCAGATTTTATTTACATGTATGAACATAAACTGTACTTGTAGTATTATTAAGTGCAGTATTTCTCCCTAACTTTCTTCCTGAAATAAGGAATGACTAATTTCACAATTTTCTTTCCACTGTAATTTTCTTCCATCTGTTTTCACTCTCTTGGAATACTATAGAAGTTTTTGAAGAAAAATTACAATTTGAGCCATATTCTGTACAAAATTAAGGTTTCCATGCAAATCAATTACATGTGGATTTTGCACAGAGTGAGCTGCCAAATTTGATCAGTTTTTGCACAGAAAATAACATCTTTGGTGAAATATGGTTTTCTCTGCAGAAAATGCTGTTTCTTGTGCTGAACCATCATGTGTGTGTTTTATGCAGAGTAAGTGTCAAATTGCAAGGCTCCTCATCAGTCCAAGATATCCATAAGAATACGCAATACAGGTAGACTTTAGAACACTGGTTCCCAACATTTTTGACCAGGGACCACTCTCCAGCATTAATACGAAAAGGGTTACAATTCAATTTTTTGATCAACTTTAGATTCAGTTTGGTTATTTAGGGTGCTGATTCAGTAAATTACATTGGATAGACCACATCAGCTGTAGTTTCTGATACAGAACATATCCATCCAGTAGTTGCCATCTGCTTGCCCACAGAAAACCATATTTAATAATCTAGAACTGATGTAGTAGTTATCTTTCATGGATAGTCAGCCTCTCCACTCCCAACATCCTTGTTGCCTTGGCACTATAAGATGGTTTCGCGAGACCAGTCACACTTGTTGCCACGTGGTTTCAAGGCAACGGTGTAGTAATGGTGAAGCCGCAGGCCATATTTTCATCCTTGCAGACCACTGGTGGTCCACGGACTGCAGGTTGGGACCACTGCTTTAGAAAGTGTAAGTTGCTAGTTCTTATGAAGGCGGCACCCTGAGTTCTCTCCTAGATTTTGCCAAATATCAGAATTTAGGCTTCTAGGATGCATTTATGCTGTAGAATCAATGCAGTCTGACATCACTTTGACTGCTATGGTTTAATGCTATGGAATACTGGGATTTGTAGTTTGGTGAGGTACTAGCACCTGTGGCAGAGATGGCTATAAGGGTTTTAATTATTATTTATTATTATTTATTTATTTCTAACATTTCTACCCTGCCCTTCTCAACCCCCAAGGGGGGACTCAGAGCGACTTACACTGGCAGTGATTCAATGCCAACACATAAAAAGCAGATATGATAAAGATAACAGTAAAAAAACCCCAGTAAATTAAAAACAATCTAAGAATATTATTAACAAGCTAATAGTTGCATCCAATCCAATTTCACATCCGAGGTGCTTTCACGCCTGCTAAAGGCCTGGTCCCAGAAACTTGATTTCAATTTCTTCTTAAATGAAAGGAGGGATGGTGCCGATGTAATCTCGCTGGGGAGCAAGTACCACAGACGGGGGGTCACCACCAAGAAGGCCCTGTCCCTCGTCTCCACCAAACGTGTTTGTGAAGCTGGCGGCCCCCCCCTGAAACTCAGCCCCCCCAAACCCCCCCTGAAAAAAATTCACCCCCCCCCCCCGAAACGAAATCCTGGCTACGGGCCTGGTGTCAGACTTGCATTGTTACAACTGGTGGGAGAATTGCAACTGCTCAGTACTATGGAATCCTGGGATCTGTGGAGAGCCATTGCCCTGTTTGACAGAGAAGGCTAAAGACTTTGTAATACTACAATTCCCATGACTCCACAGCATTGGGCCTTGACATTTAAAGTAGTTATAAAATTGCATTAACCTTACATTGTAGATGCACCCTTTTTATCTTGTGTCCAACATAGGAGTTGGGAGGATAGTGAAGGGAGATGTTCAGATCAGAAACTTTCAGTATCAACTCGCAGGTCTCTAGCAAATGATTCAGTAAACGGGAAACATGAAATAGGAAGGAATGGGACTGTGTACAAGGGTGGCTGCCTCCAAAACCCCTTTATAAACAGACATGAACACAGCAAAACAGAGACAAAAAGGAGATAACAGATAAGTCTGCCTCACCAGCTCCCCCAAGCATATTAATAAAGCATAGATCTATAGGTCTGGCCATCAAAATTGAAATCATGAGAAAAGTGGAAGCTATTGGAAGAAAAATATTGTTCCTGGATACATTTCGTAATAAGCTTTCAAGTGAACTGCAGAATATTCAAAATGGCTTTGTTTATTCATGGTACAACAACAATACTATTTTTTTCATTTCTTATGGACTCAAGGTAGGGTACAACATACATTAGAATAGGTAACTAATATAACTAAAACCACAATTTAAAACACATGAATTAAAAACACAATAAGACTAAAACACAAACTTATATGGCTGAGCTGTTTCATTACACATCTGTATTTGGTTAAATGAGCAAACCAAAAGGGTACTCACCAATTCTTCCTCTTCATCCTGGAAAGAAGTGACAAGTGGAGTGCCATCAACAGGGTTCTGTCCTGGGCCTGGTCCTGTTCAACATCTTTATAAATGACTTAGATGAAGGGTTACAAGGCATGATCATCAAGTTTGCAGACCACACCAAATTGGGAGGGATAGCCAGTACTCCAGAGGACAGGAGCAGAATTCAAAACTATCTTGACTGATTAGAGAGATGGCCCAAAACCAACAAAATGAAGTTCAACAATGACAAATGCAAGATACTCCACTTAGGCAGAAAAAACGAAATGCAAAATACAGAATGGGGATGCCTGGCTGGACAGCATGACATTTGAAAAACATCTTGGAGTCCTCATGGATAGGAAGGTGAACATGAGCCAATAATGTCATGTGGCAGTTTAAAAAACCATTGGGATTTTGGACTGCATAAATAGGAGTATAGTGTCTAGAACCAGGGAAGTAATGCTTCCCCTCTGTTCTGCCTTGGTCAGACCACACCTGGAATCACATTGTGTCCAATTCTGGGCACTGCCATCGAAGGGAGATGTTGACAAGTTGGAATGTGTCCAGAGGAGAGCAACTAAAATGATCAAGGGTCTAGGGAACAAGCCCTATGGGGAACAGTTTAAAAAGCTGGGCATGTTTAGCCTGCAGAAGAGAAGGCTGAGAGGAGACATTATGAGGGCCATGTATAAATATATGAGGGAAGTCATAGGGAGGAGGGAGCAAGCTTGTTTTCTGCTGCCCTGGAGACTAGGACGCGGAACAATGGCTTTAAACTACAGGAAAGGAGATTCCACCTGAACATTAGGAAGAACTTCCTAACAGTGAGAACTGTTCAGAGGTGGAACTCTCTGGCCTGGAGTGTGATGAAGGCTCCTTCTTTGGAGGCTTTAAACAGAAGCTGGATGGCCATCTGTTGGATGTACTTTGAATGCGATTTTCCTGACTCTTGGCCAGGGGCTGGACTGGATGGCCCATGAGGTCTCTTCCAACTCTATGATTCTACATGTACATATTATTAATTTTAAATTAAAGGTTAGCTGAAGCACTCCCCCCCCCCCTCAAACATATCTCTTTTCTTTTCAAATTTTCTGTTAAAGCAGTCATTAGGCCTGGGCGGTTTCGTTCGTTAATTTTGTAATTCGTTAAATATTCGTTAATTTTAGCAATTACAAAACGATTACAAAACTTATTTTTAAACCCGGAAGTGTTTTTAAATATCGAAACGGCATGCGCCAAATATTTTTGTATTTCCGTCCATTTCGGAAATACGTAAGATGGCTAGATGCTTGCTGGGAGCTCTCCTCTCTCTCCTCTCCTTAGCCAGTCAGAGCCTGAAAGAGGAGGAGGAGGAGGAAGAGGAGAGGGCGGGGAAGGCGCCGGCTGAGCAAGCGAGCGAGAAGGCGAGCGACCCTCAGCGGGAAGGCGGCCCGTCCCTCCTTCCTCACCTTTGCGGTGGGTGTGCTTCGTTCTCCCAATTCCGCACTGAAACCTTAGCGGAGGGCTGGGCTAGATGGCCTTTGGGGAGCCCTTCTCCCAATTTCGCATTGAGACCATAGCAGAGGGCGGGACTAGATGGCCTTTGGGGAGCCCCTTCTCCCAATTCCGCACTGAAACCTTAGCTTCGGAGGAGCCGGGCCCGACTCGGCGGCAGCGCTTGAGGGCCCGCCAGAGTGAGTGCCTGCCTTCCCTCCTTAATAATAATTTCTCCTCCCTATTCTACTAAATTAATAATTAAATTAAAAAAATATTGAAAAAAAAAAAGGGCGCCATCTTTACAAAATGTTTTGTAAATATTAACGAAATTTCGTAAATACCAGAACTTTTTAAAGGGAAAATTTTGTAATTATTTTAAATATCGAAACAAAAAAACCCCCCAAATACAAATCGATTTTAGAAACAAATTTTTCGTTGTTACCCAGGCCTAGCAGTCATGGTCATGGTTACTTTGTCAACTGTACCTATAATATGACTGATGCCCTTTTCACACATCTAGCAGGTGAAAGCAGATATTTTGCTTATGCTGGTCCGATAGATTTAATGCTCTCTTTTTAATAGCATGGTTTCATGACGGTTTGGGAGAAAAACTAGTGAGCCAGAATTCATCAACAGATGGGACACTGTTTGCGTCCAAGGCTGTTGCTAAACTCACAAAACATGCCCTTGTTTGTGTTTTCACCTCTTCCCTCAGACTCTGTGGCAAAGATCTGTTACAGGGATGCTAGAGTTAGATGGCACTGTTAGGATGGAGGTGGCCACCTGAAGAAATGAACCAGGTTCTTTTAGTTTTAATAGGCACATGGAACAAGATGCTTCAGCAGATGTAGTCTTATTTTGGTACCACACTTGCTAAAATATTGACAACTATTACAAGTTCCAAGCCGTTTTTCAGGCACAAGAAAAACGTTTTTCAGATGCCACAAGACTTCAACAATGATCAGTACTGTGGCTTTGCTGACAAGGACCTTCCAACTGCCCAGTCCTTGGAAACTGGGATGATTCTTATGCCAAATGGTAGAATTAATGCAATTTGTCAGCTGTGCCATGGAGCCCCCGGTGGTGCAATGGATTAAACCAGTGGTTCTAAACCTGTGAGTCCTCAGGTGTTTTGGCTGACAACTCCCAGAAAGTCCAGCCAGTTTTCCAGAACATCTGGGGACCACAGGTTGAGAACCACTGGAACCCTTGTGTTGGCAAGACTGCTGCCTGAAAGGTTGGCAGTTTGAATCCAGGGAGTGGGGTGAGCTCCCATCTGTCAGCTCCAGCTTTTGTGTGGGGACATGAGAGAAGCCTCCCACAGGATGGTAAAACATCGGGGCGACCCCGGGCAATGTCCTTGCAGACGGCCAATTCTTTCGCACCAGAAGCGACTTGCAGTTTCTCAAGTTGCTCCTGACACACACACACACAAAGCAGTGCCATGGCTCAATGCTATGGAATCATGGGAGCTGTAATTTGGTGAGTTACCAGCATTCTGTGGCAGAGAAAAAGCTAAAAATCTTGTGAAATTACAGCTCTGGTGATTCCGGTTAAAGTATATTAATTCTACAGTGTAGCTCAAGCATGGGCAAACTTTGGTCCTCCCTCTAGGTGTTTTGGACTTCACCTCCCACAATTCCTAACAGACTACTGGCTGTTACAAATTGAGGGAGTTAAAGTCCAGACACCTGGAGGGAGGATCAAAGTTTGCCCATGCCTGATGTAGATGCACACTTAGTTTGCACTAAAGTGGGGTGCGAGGCTGTTATTGTACTGAGAAACAAATTCCATTGAAGTGCTTCAGCCCCTTCCTGCTAAATACAGACCTCTAGCTTCATGGTGCATCTTTCTGTGCATTTTCCCACCTGGAACTCTATCCCCTTGAGTCCAAGCAAACGGGGAGCAAACGGGGAAAGGGAGGCAACATTTTCCTTTCAAGAAAGGAAAAGAAACCATAAGTCTCAGGATCCTTCCACACAGCTGAAAAAAAAAACCCCACAATAATTGAGGATATATGGCAGTGTGGACACAGGGCCCTTCAACACAGCCCTAAATCCCAGAATGGGATATCAAGGCAGAAAATCCCACAATATTTGCTTTGAATTGGGTGATCTGAGTCCACACTAAGATAACGTGGGATTTTCTGCCTTGATATTCTGGGATATAGAGTTGTGTGGAAGGGGCCACAGATAACTTAGTTCAAAACAGATATTGTGGGTTATTCTGCCTTGATATTCTGGGTTATATGGTTGTGTGGAAGGGACAAGATATGCCCAGATATGTCCCAGGGAAGGAGACAAGTAGAGGTATTGCTTCGTCCAGATGAAACTCTCCTGAATGGCTTCGGAATCACTCTGAATGGTCCCTGAGGCAGGGTCAGAAAAGCCCCCAAGAGGAGACAGAGGGTCACCCTCAACCTGGGGGTCAGGACCTCGGGGGGGGGGGAGTCATGGGGAGGTGTCAGAGGGGTCGCCAAAGACCATCAGTAATTACTGTTGGTCATGGAGGTTCTGAGTGGGAAGTTTGGCCCAATTCTATCGGTAGGTTTCAGAGTGCTTTTTGACTGTAGGTGAACTATAAATCCCAGCAGTTTTCCAAATCTCAAGGTCTATTTCCCCCAAACTCTACCACTGTTCACATTTAGGCATATTGAGTATCCATGCCAAGTTTGGTCCAGATCCACCATTGTTTGAGTCCACAGTGCTCTCTAGATGTAGGTGAACTACAACTACCAAGGTCAAGGTCCACCTAACCCTTCCAGTATTTTCTGTTGGTCATGGGGGTTATGTGTTTATGTGTTTGCTTCAGTTTTATCATTGGTGGAGTTCAGAATGCTCTTTGATAATAGGTGAACTATAAATCCCAGCAACTACAACTTCCAAATGACAAACTCAATCTGCCCCCCCCCCCCAACCCCACTAGTATTCAAATTTGGGTGAATGGGGTATTTGAGCCAAATTTGGTCCATTGAATGAAAATACTTCCTGCATATCAGATATTTACATTATGATTCATAACAGTAGCAAAATTACAGGGTTTTTTTCACAGCAGTATGCGTGAAAAAGATCTTGGAGTCCTCGTTGATAACAAGTTAAACATGAGCCAACAATGTGATGTGGCAAAAAAAGCCAATGGGATTTTGGCCTGCATCAATAGGAGCATAGTGTCTAGATCTAGGGAAGTCATGCTACCTCTCTATTCTGCCTTGATTAGACCACACCTGGAATATTGTGTCCAATTCTGGGCACCACAATTGAAGGGAGATGCCAACAAGCTGGAATGTGTCCAGAAGAGGGTGACTAAAGTGTCTGGAGAACAAGCACTATGAGGAGCGGCTTAAAGAGCTGAGCATGTTTAGCCTGAAGAAGAGAAGGCTGAGAGGAGATATGATAGCCATGTATAAATATGTGAGAGGAAGTTACAGGGAGGAGGGAGCAAGCTTGTTTTCTGCCTCCCTGGAGACTAGAAGGCGGAACAATGGCTTCAAACTACAAGAAAGGAGATTCTATCTGAACATGAGGAAGAACTTCCTGACTGTGAGAGCTGTTCAGCAGTGGAACTCTCTGCCCTGGAGTGTGGTGGAGGCTCCTTTTATGGAAGCTGGATGGCCTTCTGTCCGGGGTGCTTTGAATGCAATTTTCCTGCTTCTTGGCAGGGGGTTGGACTGGATGGCCCATGAGGTCTCTTCCAACTCTATGATTCTATGAAGTAGCAACAAAAATGCTATGGTTGGGGGCAGACCCGTAGCCAGGATTTTGGGGGGGAGTTGAGTTTGATTTGGGGGGGGGGCTGAGTCTGAGTGAAACAGGGTCTACTCTAGCAAACCTTTTATATCGTTATCCCTATACCCCCATGCATGATATGGGATATATTGAGCATGGTGATCAGATCATGATATGTATAAACATAACAGTTTAAATTATGTACCAGTAAGGCCTTCTTGCGGACCACCCTGAGAAGCGGCCCTAGGTAATTTTCAATGGTAAGCAAACAGTATTTTGGCGCCCCCCCCCCCCAACCAATCATTGATATGGAGCAGGAACGAGAGGGGCTAGGCGAGGCTCAAGGGCCTGGCCCCTTCAGGAACAGGATTGCCTGGCAGTGAGGCAAGGAAGCCGAGGCTCCCCCTGGACTGCTAGGGCTGTTGTGAGCCAAGGGGGTGCTCCTCAAGTAGCGGTTGAGGGGCATTTACAGAGGCGCCTCTGCGCCCCTGGCAAAAAAAAAAGTGTACCGCAACCGCTTACTTTGCGTAATGGATGAGCCGCCCCTGGGACCACCATGTGAATTTCGGGGGGGGGGCTGAAGACCCCAAGCCCCCCCCCCCGCTAGATGCCTGGTTGGGGGTGACCCCAACATGAGGAACTGAATTAAGGGGTCGCGGCATTAGGAAGGTTGAGAAGCACTGGTTTAGAATAGGATCAGGAGAGACAACGAGGGCCGTGCGGGAGCGTACAAGCAAAGCATCCCCGACAGATAGCCATGCAACATCCAAGGAAGGAGTAAGCTTCGTGACTGAGCTCTGCGGATGGGAAGCGGAGTCCTAAGGAGACGAGGAGGAGGAGGAAGGGAGGGAGAGGCCAGGACCAAGGCGAGGGGCTTTGGGTCGAGCCAGGGCACTTACTCGTGAAGAAGCTCCTCCATTCCCCACCGTGCAGCTTTTCCTACCTCGGCATCGTCTCCCTTCTCTTCTTCTTCTTGTTCCTCCTCCTCCTGGGGATGCTGCTGCTGCCGCTGTCTTCCTCTCCTCCTCCTCCTCCTCCTCCTCCTCTTCCTCCTCCTCCTCCTCCTTTTGCTGTCGTTCCTCTCCTGCCTGGCAGCCCCTCCGCGCCGTATGGGCCGGGCTTGGAGGCGGGGATTCGCCAGGCCCGGCCCCGAGAGCGCTTCACCTGCAGTTCAGAGCGGCTGCGAGGGAGATTCAGGAGGGGGCAGCCAAGGAGGAGGAGGAGGAAGAGGAGGAGGAGGAAGAAGAAACCGGCGAGCGAGCAAGCCAAGCAAGCGGCGAGGAAAGCACCGCGGCAGCCACCGCCAGAGAAAGGGAGCCAGGCAGGCAGGGGAATCAGGCAGCCACACAAGCAGGACGGACAAGGGACCCATCGCCGGGGCTGCCCCGTTTGGACCAAGGAGGAGAGAGAGCGAGCGAGGGAGGGAAGAGGGAAGGAAGGAGAGAGGCAGAGAGCCGCCCGGCGCGGAGGAAGCGGAGATGCCCGGGCGCTCGGGGATGCTACTTCTCTGGCTCTTTGGCTGCTGGAGCTCGGCCAGGGTAAGTTGAACGGGCGGGGGGGGGGGGGGGGGGGGGGGGGGGGGGGGAGAGGAGAGAGAGCCCTAAGCCCACCCCAGGCAAAGCAAAGGTCCGGGACTTGGATGCTTGCGTGGATATTGGGATCTCATATATATGGATGCTTGCCTGGATGTTGGAGTTCCCACACACACACACATTCACAAAACTGAATGCTTGCCTGGATATTGAAGTTCACGTATATATACCTATACACATACATACATACATATATTCACAAGCTTGGATGCTTGCCTGGATGTTGGGAGTTCACACACATATATGCAAACACACATATATACATATACATACATACATACGCAAGCTTGGGTGCTTGCTTGGATATTGGAGTATATGAAGTTCATACACACACACATATATATATGTACACACACACAAAGTTCATACACACATATATGTATATATATACATATACATACACACATACATACATTCACAAGGTTAGATGCTTGCCTGGATATTGGAGTTCATATATATATATATAGAGAGAGAGAGAGAGAGAACACACACACACACAAACACACACATATATATGTACACACACAAAGTTCATACACACACACATATATGCACACACATATACATACACACATACATACATTCACAAGCTTGGGTGCTTGCCTGGATATTGGAGTTCATATATATATATATATATATACACACACACACATATATATATATTTATATATATGAAGTTCATACACATACACACACACATACACACATTCACAAGCTTGGATGCTTGCCTGGGCATTGGAGTTCATATATATACACATACATAAATACATTCACAAGCTTGAATGCTTGCCTGGAGAGTGGAATATGTGTGTGTGCGTGTGTATATATATATATAGAGTTCACATATATTACACACATACATGTACATATGTACAGACTTACATAACTACACGTGATAGTTTGTGTGTGTGTGTGTGTGTGTGTATAGGCATATATAGGTGTGTGTGTATGTGTGTGTATATATATATATATATGTATATGTATATGTATATATAATCATGTTTTGTCGAAGGCTTTCATTGCCGGAATCACTGGGTTGTTGTGAGTTTTCCGGGCTGTCTGGCTATGTTCCAGAAGCATTCCCTCCTGACGATTCTCCTGCATCTAGGTTGTAATGCCACACATATATGTATATCTATGTATATGCATAGATGTATATGTGTGTATGTATATATCCCATACACCACCTTTTCCCCCGACTCCCTTTCCTCCCCCTCTTTGCGCACACTGCATGCACTTGGAGCTCCCCAAGCATGAAACCTTGCTGTGCGGTGCTTTCATTTGAGGTGTGTTTGGAGGCTCTTGGTCCCTCTCCTCCTCCTCCTCCTGCTGCTTGAGGACATCCCATCTCCGCCTGGCTGTGTCCATAAGGGATGCTCCTCTTCGCCTCCTCCGCTTCCGCCTCTTCTTTGGACCGCGGCTGGGGCGGGTGGAGGGGGAGGCGAGAAGCCAAGGCTCCCCTCCAGGCACCAACCAACTCCCTTTCCCCCCCTTTGCCGAGTACTATGCAACAATGCGAGCTTGTGTCTTCCCGCGGAGATGCATTCACACCGCTCCCTCCTCCTCCTCCCCCTTCTTTTTTCCATTTATTCACAGACACTGGCAGACACAAAAAAAAATCCTTCGGAGGAAGAAGGCTTTCGCGACGGGGTGGGCGGTGGGGAGAAGCCGCTGCTGGCTGTGGCAAAGGAGGGATGTGCAGGGATGTGCAAGGATGGGTGTTGGGTGCCAGAAAGGGACCTCGTTCACTCCTGGGTGTTTAAACATTACTATTCTTATTATCATGGCAATAGCGTGATAGGAACATGGCTTGGAGTTTCTTGGTGGGCTTGATTGTGATTAATTCCAGTTGAGCAAGAAAGATCTGCAAAGAAAACGAGCCCCCGAATGCAGCAGCAGCAGCATCTCGAAGAAGTTGGGTCTGAGTGTCGCCTTTTACTTTTGGAGAGCCTTTGCCTCACCCACATGGCGATTGACAGGAGTCTTGGGTGCTGCGCCTCTTCAACAGTCACTGAATTGAGGCTGATTTCTTGGACTAGGAAGCTGACCTGAATGAGTGGATACAGGGTTGCTGTGAATTTCCCGGGCTCTAGTATGGCCATATTCTGGAAGCACTCTCTCCTGACGTTTCGCCCACATCTATGCCAGGCATCTTTTGAGGTTGTGAGGTCTGTTGGAAGCTAAGCAAGTGGTGTTTATATATCTGTGGCATGTCCAGAGTGAGAGAAAGAACTCCCCTCAGCTTGACACAGAGAGATCTGTTTCCTTCCCAGGTTAATTTCAGGAAAGGCGAAGCTGATAATACCCACTGATGAGTGAAAATTAAGGTTTGGCCATCTTCATTACGTAGTGAAAAACTAAAAGAAGAATTCCCCAAAATCATATTTGGAGTTATTTTTCCTGGGAGCCACTAGCTTCCTGCAAATTCACAGTCATACATTTTGATACTGCTGTATAACTTCCATATATTCTCTTGAGCTTTTCTGTGAGTATTTGAGGCATTTGTTTGCCATGCATGCCTGGAAAATGGTAGGATGTGGACACATTATCTTACTGGGAGGAATAGCAGACTTCCTCAATATTAGCCATATGTTTTGAGTATCCATATATTGGGTTGGTGAGTTTTCTGGGCTGTATGGTCATGTTCCAGAAGCATTTTCTCCTGATGTTTCACCCATGTCTATGGCAGGCATCCTCAGAGATTGTGAGGATGCCTGCCATAGATGTGGGTGAAATGTCAGGAGAGAATGCTTCTGGAACATAGCCATACACCCAGAAAACTCACGGCAACCCAGTGATTCTGGCCATGAAAGCCTTCGACAACACATTTATCCCTATACTCCACAGCTGAACTTTTGAAATCATTTTGAAAGGACATCCATTAAGACCGAGCCAGTCTGGTGCTTAAAATAGTCTAGTCTTGTCATTTCCCCTCTATTTCTAAATTGGTCAGATTGCTCTGTCTGTCCTTAAATGAAAAAGCCCTTCCGAGATTTAATGCAAGCAAAACGATTTTGACTGGCGATGGGACTGATTTCCCAGAAAGTTTTCCTGCACATGTCTGAATGGGTAAAAGTCTGGTATTGGCTAGCAAAGGCGAGGCTTTATGATAGTTTCCATCCAGGCATCGTATGTATCTTCTTGGAGTCTTCTTTCAAAAAAAAAAGACAGTTCAAACTACTTTATTTCCAAGTTTGGATGGCTAACTTTTGTTATTGAGGGGCCGATGACAAAGGGATGTTTTATAGTTTAGAGACTTGGCTGGAAAGGCTTTCCCCTCCCTGGGTTGATTCAGCCGCCTTGCCACAGACAGTCTGCTGTGACCCTGTTGTTATAGGTCCATCTTAATAAGTGGATGATTGGAAATCCAAAGCCTATTATCTACTGTCAGACTCGGAAATGTCTCTGAATTGCAGCATCTTGCCAGGAGTCTGCCGACTTGCACTGAAGAGTCGCTTCCCTGCATTTTCCATAGACAGTAGCTGGCATTTCTCTCCCAAGCGTGATTTCTCGCAGAGATTACATTGGCTTGCATTTTGCTTAGTAAGCTTCTCTGGAAGCTGGGAGACAGACTCTGTGTTCATGTCTCCCTCTCTCATATCCATGCACATACAGAGATGCTTAATGTAGCTTTTCCTCTCATTCATAAGTATTTTAACACCAGTCTCAGTCTCCTGTTAGCTTCCTAGTTGTTAGATCTTGCAACCATCTTCGTATTTGGATTTTTCAGGGGTTGGTTTGGTTGCTTGAAATATTTGTGTTTTCTGAAGGTTGGACTACTTGGTTTTGGGATCTGTGTCCATCTTGCTCTTGTTGGAATCCACTTGGACTCCTGAGGGATTCCCCAATCGTTCTCAATCTGGTGCACGGCAGTGACTGATCAGAGTTGATGGCAGTTGCAGTCCAATGTACTTGAAGGCACCAGGTTGTGATGGGATGCCCTAGAAAAATCAACAATAACTGTCAAAAGACAGTGATGCCTCCTGCTTAAAAAACCTTTGTGCCTTCCTTGTGGTAGAAATATGTGGCTTTAAAATCACTATTTAAAAATATTTTCAGCTTTTGTCCCCTCTTACACATTGGGTAAATAGGAGCTCATTTGAACTGATAGAGCTGAAGAACTTCCTAACTCTTGAGAGTTGTTCAGCAGTGGAACTGTCTGCCCCGGAGAGTGGTGGAGGCTCCTTCTTTGGAGGCTTTTAAACAGAGGATGGATGGCCATCTGTTAGGGGTGCTTTGAATTTTCCTGCTTCTGAGCAGGGGGCTGGACTGGATGGCCCATGACATCTCATCCAATTCTATGATTCAAATAGCTTTGGTCAAAGCTGATTCTTCATTGCCACCCAAGACCTAGGAAATGAAACGAGCCCTTAGTTTTAACTACACAGCCCCTGATTTGGATCTGGAAACAAACTTCTGGTTCACGTCTCTTTTCTAAAGGGGAAAAAAGATACTTGGCAGAAGCTATTCAAATCCTGTCAGTCTTTTTTGTCATGTCAGGAGTGACTTGAGAAACTACAAGTCGCTGCTGGTGTGAAAGAATTGGTGGTCTGCAAGGACGTTGCCCAGGGGATGCCTGGATGTTTTCATGTTTTACCACCCTTGTGGGAGGCTTCTCTCATGTCCCCGCATGGAGAGCTGGAGCTGATAGAGGGAGCTCATCTGCGCTCTCCCTGGATTCGAACCTGCGACCTGTCTGTCTTCAGTCCTGCTGGCACAGGGGTTTAGGAGTAACTAGGCCATCCTTCTAAATTTTCCTGCTGGGGAGGTAGGGAAGGAGAGCATCTATGTGGCTTTGCATATTTTTAACTCTCTGGATTGCCTTATTCACTTTCCAGGATTTCACTTTGTATTTCAGCCAGGCATGTTTGCATGCTTGCTCTCACTCAGTTCTTTTCCTCTCTTTGCCCAGTGATGATTGCTCAGCACTTCTGCGTTGATTTGCCTGGGTGTATAGACTCATAGCATCTTGCTGTAACTTTAACAGACCTTCCTGAGCTCTTTCAGTGCCAGGAAAACACAGCCAAAGATGGTGATCGGATGGTTTTCAGCAAAAAGGACCTGGGGGGTTCCTTGTGCATTGCTCCTTAGATTTGCCAACCTCAGCTTTATATTGATCTGAAACCTTAGGGTGTCTCTAACATAACCAGTGAGATACAATGTACAGCCATTCCTAGCCGTGCTGTTTCGTAATGTTTCCTAAGTCATCTCCAGCTTAGGCTTTCCAGTTTAGATCCCATATTGCTAGCATTTCCCAATGAATGTGGTTTCATTGTTTTTTTTTCATTATCACACAAAGCAGGCCAACAGTTTGACACTCTTTCAGTGGCTCAGGCTGGTGTTTGGAGACACTGGCAGAAAGCTGCTCTCTCTGTTCAGAAATAACACAATTCGTGATGCTCTGTTGTTCTTGTTTTGCTCTCTGCAGGCACACAATGGGGATCTTACAGTCAGACCCACTTGCAAGCCTGGCTTCTCGGAAGACGATTACACAGCGCTGGTTTCCCAAAACATCATGGAGGGGCAGAAGTTACTCAAAGGTAGGGAGCATTCCTGGAAATGGAATGGAATGTCTTGATGCGTATTTTGCATTATGGGGAGGAAATAGCTGACATATGGAAAGCAGGAGCCCCAAACTCAATTGGTTTATTGGGAAAGCAATGTGAGGATGATGCTTATAGGCTTGCTTATCTTCAAGTTGCTCAGTAGCTATACTGAATCCTTCTGTTGTTGCTTATTGTGTGGCTCTGGTAAAAGGAGGATCTCATGGTATCATATCACAACTGGTTCTTGTGCCTCCATTTCCCCCCTTCGCTCCCTGTTGGTAGAAGTTTCCTGTTGTTGTATTCTAGATTTGTGTGTGTGTACACATGCATGCAGAGAGTTGTCTTACCTTTGAAGATCTGAAGTTCCTAAGCTTTGTGTTTCAGTGCTGGGTAAATGAAATGTTGTTGCGGGATATGTGGTATGCAAGCCAACGGACATTTTGTTTTCAGATGTAGCATTTGTTTTCATTACAGCCCAACAGGCAAGACAAACATCACAGCCACTATGAGCAATGACCAATTAGCTTTACAGTAATTGTAGGATTATAACTGCTTCTTTTTGCATGTGACTGTGAGCTCTTAAAAGTGCTCCATAATTCAAAAGGCCATAGTGCACCCTGGTCACTATTCACTTTTTTCTAATAAAAAAGTTGTTCTCTCTACTGTGTTTTTACAGTAATTAAAATAATTAAGCACTCCATTTTCACAGTGCAGGAAACACATCCTTTGTTTACTCCTGTGAGAATCTTAAAAGCCAAACTGGAACCTGTCTCTGTACTTTGCTTCCTAATTGCTAATAGACACAGTAGATGTCATCGTGTTATGAGCCAATGTGATATGGCATTGGAATGCCATTGAAGGAAGTGAAGTCAATTTGGAGTGAAGTGCCAGAAGGGATGGCACAGAAAACGGGTGGGCAAAGGATGCCAACAAAGCTTGATGTGCAAATGGGCTGTTTTGTTACCTTGAGGGTCCATGGAACAAGACAGTAAAATGGCACGTTGAAGACCAAGAAGATTGTCGGGAATGGCTCCTGTCTGGATTCATACTTGCTTCCTCTAAATAGGTCTCCTTCCTTCTGTATGTGCTGGAGGTGGTGATGCAGAATTATATGCATAACTAAGGGGGGAAATGAGACCTAGGCATGGCATTGCAAGGAACTAGTTCCTATGCAAACAGTGGTGGGGTAGTGTTGAACTGCATTTATTTGTGCGGGTTTTTAAAAATATATATTGTTGAAGGCTTTCATGTCCAAAATCACTGGGTTATTGTAGGTTTTTTGGGCTGTATGGCCATGTTCTAGAATCATTCTCTCTTGACGTTTCGCCTGCGTCTATGGCAGGCATCCTTATTTACCCGGGACCTCACAACCTCTGAGGATGCCTGCCATAGATGCAGACGAAACGTCAGGAGAGAATGCATCTAGAACATGGCCATACAGCTTGGAAAACCTACAAAAACCCAGTTTTAAAAATATGGTTAAGGAATTGAGGTTTCTTTGATCAGAGGGACAGAATTCCTGGATGTATTGAACACACTCCTCTGAGGTCATTGCTCTAAAATGTATTTGTGTTTGAATAGCTTTGTGTGTCCAGGTTTATATCTCCAAATTTCCCTTTTATGTATCACTCCTCTGCTCATAAAACTACCAGGCTGAAGTTTTGTGTGTCTCACTGAATTAAAAACTAGTGACTTTGAATGTCTCCCAAAACATTGGGAAAAAATCCTCTATTAACTTTTTGGGGCTTCCTCATCCGCAAACCTTTTCTTGTCTCTCAGATGTGCCTTCCCAGTCAATTCGGGAACACATTGTAAATAGGATGATGTCACAGTGATTTGTAGTCACATACCCAATCAAATCTACCATTGTGATAGATGTTATTGAGGTCAGGTAAATTCAATTATGAGCAAGAGAGTGCAAGGAAAATGGAATAGGTGAACATAACTGTGAGGACTCCCCCTTCCAGTGTTGAAAGGGAAAGCATGTTTTGACACTAACTAAAATGTTAGCAAAATCCGCTCTGTTTATTGATGACACACTGCCGTAGAAATGACAAAGCACTGCCTACAACCTCACTCAAACCACAGAAAGAAAATGAATGGGTCCTTGGACTCTTAAAAGCTCCATTTATTCAGGCTGCAGACATAATATTAATACAGGTTGAGTATCTCTTATCTGAAACCAGAAGTGGATTGGATTTCATATTTTAAGAAGATTTTAGAATAACTGTATTAGCTTATTTCTTTATTCGATTTATACCTTTCCTTTGGCTCAGAAAGAGATTCAAGGCATATATGTACATCATGTGATATCTTAGAAATGAGACCCAAGTCTCAACATGACATTCATTCACGTTTAATATACGCCTTATACACATAGCCTAAAGGTAATTTTATATAAGATTTTAAAATTGTTTTGTGCATGAAACACAGTTTGTGTATATTGAACCATCATAAAGCAGAGGTGCCACTTTCTCAACCACTTACATAGATTACATAGACTTACATAGAGTCTGGATTCTGGAGTATTTTGGATTTCAGAATTCTGTATACGGGATGCTCAACCTGTATGTAACATTACCATACAATACAGTAGTGAGCCTTAGCCTTTTGCACTCTATGTTTAAAAGATTAGTGCCTAGAAACCTCAGCTAGCATTGCCAATGGTCAGAAATTTTGGGATTTGAGCACCAAAACAACCAAAAGACCAAAGACTGATAACCACCGCAATAAAGCAAAGGCAATGCCGATTTGTTTAGACAAATGCATGAATTCTGATCCTTGTTGTTTCATTGCGTAGTGCACACCATTGCCACACCAGTTTGACAATCCTTTTAGTATACTTTGGACTTTTGCTCAGTTTTCTGTCTTTGTATTTCTGAGCCTTACTTTTTGTAGTCTGCTTTAATTTGTTCCAGTCACTGATCTTCAAATTAATGAACAAAGTTGGAGCTATTCTGAATAGAATGATTCCATCCAGTACTCCAGAGACAAATGAATTTTGGGTTGTGTTAGCTGATGCAATAGCCTAGGAAAGTAAGTTGCTGGTGATTGTGGTGGCTGCCATAGCCCTGCAGGTCTACTAAAGTTCTAGTAGCCCATCTGTCAGCACATATTTATTTTAATCAGTTGTAGCTCATTGCCATCTTGAAAGGGAGGGGAAGGAAAATGATATATGAAGCTGCATTAATTGGAATCAGACTGTTTTACACAGCTTCGACATTTGTGGGCTAGCCTAAAGTGGGGTTCTCCATCCCCTGCTGATATTTCTTTAGGAGATGTATGGGAATGAATTTGTAATTTTCTATAAATAGAGTACATGTTCTACCATTGAACCAATCCTTCCAATTGATAATGTGTATGAGCCGCCAGTGGTGCAGTGGATTAAACCGCTGAGCTGCTGAACTTGCTGACTGAAAGGTTGGTGGTCACCACAATTGGGCACCACAATTGGAGATGTTGACAAGATGGAATTTGTCCAGAGGAGGGCAACTAAAATGGTCAAGGGTCTGGAGAACAGGAGCGGCTTAAAGAGCCGGGCATGTTTAGCCTGAAGAAGAGAAGACTGAGAGGAGACATGATAGCCATGTATAAATGTGTGAGAGGAAGTCATAGGGAGGAGGGAGCAAGCTTATTTTCTGCTGCCCTGGAGACTAGGACGCAGAACAATAGCATCAAACTACAAGAAAGGAGATTCCATTCCAACATTAGGAAGAGCATCCTGACTGTGGGAGCTGTTCAGCAGTGGAACTCTCTGCCCTGGAGTGTGGTGGAGGCTCCTTCTTTGGAGGCTTTTAAACAGAGGATGGATGGCCATCTTTTAGGAGTGCTTTGAATGCAATTTTCCTGCTTCTTGGCAGGGGGTTGGACTGGATGGCCCATAAGGTCTCTACCAACTCTATGATTCTATGAATCAAATCCGGGGAGTGCGGTGAGCTCCCGCTGTTAGGACCAGCTTCTGCCAACCTAGCAGTTCGAAAACATGCAAATATGAGTAGATTAATAGGTACCGCTTTGGTGGGAAGGTAACAGCACTCCATGCAGTCATGCTGGCCACATGACCTAGGAGGCATCTACAGACCATGCCGGCTCTTCGGCTTAGAAATAGAGATGAGCAGTACTCCCCAAAGTTGGAGACAACTAGACTTAATGTCAAGGGGAAACCTTTACCTTTTATGTTGAACTGACGATGGATTCTTTTAGTTGTAAGTGACAAGGCCAGTGACTTTACACCTGTGTGTACTAATACTGCTGTTCTCCTGATTGGAATAATCATGTTTCTATGTATTTGGTTGCGTCTTCCCCTTGTTTTGTTGGAAGTAAAGTAGTAGCAATGTCAATTTAAAGTGATCAGTAGCAGAGGGGATTCTAGATCACATCTGCTCTTTATTTTACCACTCTATGATCTATATGCTGAAGGATTTTGCTTCTTGCTTACCTGTTAAGATCTCCTCTCTTCTTCAAGAAGTTACTCTCTCAGCTCTCTCTCTTTGGGGAAGGGATTCGTCTCCTTCCCCAATAATGGCTGGTAGCTTGCACCCATAGGTGAGCCGGCATTTAGGGGCGCTTGTAAAAAAAATTAGGTCAACTACTTGGGTGTTTTTCCTTTCTTTTTCTTAAGATGGTCGGGAAACAATAAATGCACTTAACCTTTTCTCTTTTACTTTGTAAGAGGATCCAGAGTAATTACTCCATTTTCCACCACAGGCTTGTATTCCGCTAGCTCTGATGCTCTCTGCTTGATATAGATTCCAAATATTCCTACATGGTTAAGAATGGATAATGTCTTTGCTAGTGTTTATCACACCGCCTCATCTTTTCAGGCACCAGAGTAATTTGTCTGCTCTCTTGGAAAGAGATCTATGACAACTGGATATTTGCTGCATTGTGTTGTGGTGTTGTTGGCTGGACAGTGACAATGGAACGGAAGGGCTGGTGAAGAGAAGTTGAAAGTGTTGCCAGCTGAAGTTAAAGAGAAGCTGTCATGTAATTAC